GAAGGGGAATAGGCGAGCGAAGTTAACAAACATTTAGAAAAATGAGCTATTGTAGGAGCATTTTTAAGATAAATTCATAAAAGAGTTAAAAGTTAAAATTTGTAAAACTTGAGGGGGATAATACAGCCCCCTGACCCCCCCCCCCCCCCCCATTGATGCCCATGCTGTGGCCCTACAGGACACCAGCCTCTCCTGCAGCTCTAAAACCTGAACTTTCATCATGACTGCAGCCATGGTCATTGAGAAGAGCGATCCTGGTAGCCTGCCTATATATCCTTTCCACTGTATTGAAATTTGCTTATAACAACACAGTCTGACCTGCTGTACACACTGTAGTCAGGTGGCCCTCAACCAGCGAGAGACTCGGTGCCATCCGTTCATAGCGACAGATTTAATTAAGTCTCTGGTTCCTTGAGAGAATGGTCTTTGGGTTTTCTGTGGTCTGTTCGGAGGACTAGGTTCGCTGTGCGCCTGAACCTTCTTTTGGGTCTGGGGCTTTAGCTTCTGGCCTTGGGTTATGTCTCAACCTCTGGGACTGCCGCCTAGGATGGAGTAGGATGGGAGGTTGAATCTTGCTATGACACCACTCAGCAAGGATGTCAAGTCCCTATTAGACATGAGAGGACTCTATGGCGCTCTTAGACTCCTCGATCTCTTGCGGCACTTACAAGGGATGTTTGTATGAGAGAGGAGGATCCTTCTTCATAGTATAAGAGGGAGCAGGAAGCCCAAGGACCGCCTCCTTTATGACAAAGTAAGCAAGACTAAGACGGTGAACCCTGGTACAGATTGCACAACTGACAGTGGTGTTCCTTTGGCCATCCTTGTGTGCTTTAAGGCACACCGGTGTTGTGCAGCTTGTTGGATATGCTGCACATGGTCTTACCTCCGGCCCGTAAGAACCCATGCCTGTCACTCATATCACCAAAATGATTACAGCACATATGTCCTAAGTTAATTGGGGCTACCTCTAATGTAACCAGTACCTGCCCTGGTATGGGTCTTTCATTCTGTAAGGTGGAAGTGCTTGCGGTTTTAGGATGTGACAAGATCATATTATGGCAAATGAGTCTTCCATCTTGGCTTGCTCGTCCTGACCACTTCTCAGGACCAGCAGGACATCGAAAGTATACATTCACTCATTTATTATACTGGTATCTTTATTTTACACGCTGCACAGGTTTTGTAACTCCTTTGATCCATATTTAACTTGCCTACAACTGACAAACACAAATATGTCCTTTGATAACACCAATGAAGGGCCATAAAATTACACATCAATATCTTGTGGTTGCCTGCACCTGTCATTGTTTACATTCAAAAGCTATTGTGACGTCATCTCATCCTGCTCGCCCAGCTTCGCAGGAGGAAGAGGCGGACGAGATGGACAACTTGTCAAGGACGAGATTGTAGAGGTTCCGAACGGTCAAGACATCTTGCCCAACTGGTCTGGACGAGCAGGACGAGGAGTTCCGAACGCAGCGAAAGTCATAATATAGATGCGTTTCTTTCCATCGGTGAGCTCAACTCCGGTCCAAATGCAGGTAGACTGATCTTTGGAGAGGATTATCGTGCCTTCATCTTTAGCATTGATAGCAAAAACCTACCTTTGTCTGGACTTATTATTGCATGTACATATATTACTATCAGATGTTCAGATCTCTCCACCGATCTTAATATGTGATGGTTATAAAAATAAATCATATTGGTCAACCTCATATTTAGCAGATATTGGTGTTTATATTTTAGATTTCCTATTCTTACAAAAAGGGTATAAAACATCAGATGTGTCTTTAATATTAAGGTCTCATATAGACAATAAACTGGCAAGAGCTTAGTTTACCTTCAATTATAAACCAAACAACTTCCTTTATGCTTCCAGGATAGTTTTTCAGCTAAATTCCCAAACTTCACAATTGTTTTAATTGTCTCATGAATTTTATATCCTTTGCTCAATAAGTACCACCAACATTGGGATTTCTCTTATCTGTAATACTATTTACCAAATAAATGAATTGAAAACTAAATTAGTTGTGCTGCACTTCAAACTAGGGTGGCCTGCTCTAAGCAACTCCAGGATAAGGTCATTCTGGGATAAGTACCTTGATATTCAACCAGTATTTTTCTTTTTTTTACTGAGACAGTAGAGGCTTCAATCTAAAAATTTTATACTTCCCATAATTACTCAAATGATATTCACAAAAAAGTGTTATCTGCTCTCAACAACTCCTAGATAAATTGAGTCTAAGTTCAGTACTTTGATATCCAACCTGTAATTTTCTTCATTACTGAGCAGACCTTATGTGAAAATCTAAAAAGTTAATATTAAGTAGAAAGATGTTCCCCCAAAAAATCATTATTTGGCCTAATCATCACCAACTTTTGTAACAAATATAAATAGGAATACTTCATATACTGCCAGTTCCTTTGTGGGAACATCTGTCAAGCAGTACTCCTCTAACCGTACATACTTGTAACACAGAGAGTAAGTCATATAGGTTATGTTATGGCACTGATATCACTTAGAGCAGTGTAGGTCAGACCTTTTTCATCACATTCAAGTTTGTTTTCATTATCCAGACTGAATATCTCCTCTATTAGTGTCAGTAGAGGTTATAATTCTCTTCATTCAACTTGATATATTTTTCTTTCCTTTATTGTTTATATTGATTAATCTGTGGATTATTCAGTTATGATATTAACTTTCACATTTTTTGCCTCCTGTTTTAATTCTGTGTTAACTGTGTGAATAAAAAAAATATATATATGGATAACCACATTTTTCATTTCATGAACAGGATCAGTTTCAACAACACAAAATAAAACACATTTTCTTTCTTTAGTACTTTACAAAAAATAATTACACTGTACGAAAATGGAATTAATGCAATATTAACCATACTTTGTATAGTTAAAATGTGCATAGATCACTTTTCCAGAAATGGAATGCAGTCAAAGAGATATTTGTATGATAATCCCTGACATTCTGTTGTTAATTCTATATTTTACATTTACTAGAATAAAAAAAATGCTGGCAGTAAATGCTGGCAGTAAGTTTGCTTTTGAAGGACCAAAACTTAAGTAGTTAAGAGTGGTACTTTTAGCCATGTTCAGAAAAAAGGTGATGAACAATGTTAATGATTAAATGGTTTTGCATAAATTATATTTAAAGTGTAACATGGAATTGGAATGAACTTTTGGATGACCATTAAAACTATAAAAATGCTTTCTTTTATCTTAGCAAACTCTCTTCAGTAGAATGAACATGGATGGCTGCATAGGAATAAATATGATATCAAAGTATACCTATTGTAGTTAATGTGCCTTAACCCCAAGCTGCCAGGCATGGCATGCACATAAATGCCATTGACCATTGTGGGTGTTGAATTTAGCAATTGTTTTTACATACAGATAGGTTCACAAGTACTAAGACACCAATGAGCCAATTACGAGAACTACCTGTCACACCTGTTTAAATAATGATATCATTAGTAAAAAAAAAAGTTTTTCCTGCTCTTTCAAGGAAAATTGAGGTCGCAAGATCTACTAATTGACTCCTATGTGGCTAAGCATTGGCAGAGCCATCTATGTGCAGAAACATTTAACCAAGCATTGCCAAAGGGAACACACTATTTTCCCGTCGACATTGGATTAAACCTTTTTTTTTTCATGCGAAATCCTTTGCTGAACATTAGATTGATCATTTGCAATCTTTTCCATGATTAAAAGGCTTCCTTCACAGAGGTTGAAACACGTGATTTCAGTGATTGTTGTTGGCGACTTTATGATGCAAATCCAAAGTTTGCCAGGAGGAAAGCATACTTTAGTTATGTGTCCTATTTAACTGTATGGGATTAGCATTTATTCCACCTTTTACATAAAGAAGTTTGTAGAGGCCTCGTGATTGTACTCGTGCCAAATATATTTCATAATATGGAATTACAGTTTGAAGTACTGCCCAGTCAATTTTCAGACATATAAAAGGAATATTTCTTGAGCAGTTTCATAGTTGAACACTAAGCAGAATTAAATTATGCATCTTTTCATTTTAAAAAATCCCACTAAATCTAAATAATGCTAGGCTGTCAAATATTATCAGTAGTTTAGTATGGATGAATCTACAGATAGAACTATTGATCATTTGGGACTTCCAATCTAACTTCAGTAGCACTTACAAGGTCACTAATAATCTTTTTCTTCTCTAATTAAATTCCCTCCCCCATTATACTTATGAATGAGCAGGTCTTTGATAGCCCAATTCTATGGGGGTTTTTCCCCCCATAAAATCCAACACTCAAAATTTAGCCTTTTTTTATTACTCCCCACAATAAAATAAGAAAAACTGCAGTTCAGAGTAATGCCACAATAAAAAGTAAATAAAAAAACAAAACCAACTCTTAATACTGTTAATCTTATGTCTCTTCCTTTTCCAAGGGACAATCATATAAAACAAAATGTGTAAAAAAAAAAGAGAAATTTAATGATACCTACAATTGTTTACACCATTATCACAAAATGAGAAGAAGCACTATGGCACCCATTCGTCAGAGTCTTGTTCCACTTCAGTTTCACTAGATTCCCCTTGTGTCCGCCTCCTTCTTCTCCTTCTTCCTTGTGTTCTTTCCCTTCTATTCCTCTCTCTTTGTCTTCTTCTCACATTACCACCTTCACTGTTTTCACTGTCACTTTCTGCATAGCTGACAGACCTCCTATTATGGACATCTCTCTCTCTTATCTTCTTAACAACTTTCAATTTATTGGGTGCATTTTCGTCAGTCTCTATTTTTTCCTTCAGGCGGTAGGAAAAGATGGTGTACTGGTTCCCTTTATACACAACAATGTTCAAGATGTCTCTGTCCATGTGAACACTGAGTCGGTTGGTCTCAATATCCCCATCAACCGTGGTAGATATGTCCAGTTCATCAAGGAATTCATAAGAGTAACTGTCATAGAATGTAACCTTCACCAGGTGTGTACGACAGTTTTCCTAGCAAAGAGATGGAAAGAATATGAAATATCACATACCTTCATAAAGTAGCATTAAACTTACAAAATAAAAATTAAACACTGTTTTTTCAAGCTACTGACCTAGTTATTTCTCAAAAGCAAAAAAATTCACAAGAACTTGAAATGAACAATACAAGTATTAAGTAGCAATAATACTTTGACTCCTGTAAACTGAATCACCACTCTTGAACAATTACAATCCTCCAACTTACATCTCTTTGAGCTTCTAGAATGGCAAGAATCCTCAACTCTGTCTCAACATTGAAGGCAAGAGCTCTGTTCAGTGAATAGTCCCATTCAAACTTCGATTTCAACAGCCGCCCTGAACGGGAATACTTAGCAATGTCCTTATTCTGCCAGGAAAGAAAGCATACATATATATCATTGTTCTTTACAGTTGGCAGGAAAGATAGAAACAGTTACTTAGAACGTGTTGAGAGTAATGTGCTAAACCTTTTTCATTTACCACCTCATAGAAGAAGGGCAAGAATAAAACTGAATGCAGGCTTTGGAAATGTTAGTATAATTATCAAATCCTTCCCCAGTTACTCATTTGTAGGTCATGCCTATCTGGAATTATTATTCCTTCTCATTTATGCCTCTTTTCTTTACATATGTTACAATTACTTTCTGCCACTTTAAGAACAGTAACTCATTCCTCCTGTTAATCGAATGACTGTGACGTACACCAGATGATGTCAATTATTATATACACATATGCACCTTGTCATAGTACACCTATTTTTGGTAATGCGAGGAGAGCTACTATACTACAAGGTAGGAGCTAACAGGCCCCAGTTTCCCAATGATGAACTACACATAGAATGCTTCATTCTGCAGTTATAAGGTTAATATCAACTTTCCCATGTATTTTATAACACTTTAACTAACCAAGTTAAATCAAAGGCACTCACCTTATCTTTTTTTTCCACTGGATAAGTAAATTCTTCCTCCAAATAACGCTTACCATTCCTCTCCTTGATGGCTAAAATCCTAGAAACACAAACAATAGAAAATATTATAAACTGTCTGACTTAATTATACACACCCTAGAACATATAGAGCCAATAATAACTTTTTGAAACTTCACAATCCTTTAATGCAGCATCATTAAATTCACAGCCATCTAAAGCTTACTATTATACTCACCCTGAAGTCTATATAATCATATTCCCTTTAAATAACTGTGTGATCCATTAAAGGTTCAAATATGTGGTGCCTGTTGATTACATTAGTAGATGACCTTAACTAATAAGGAAAAGGATACAACCATAATGCCCTTCTCTCAACCTTTCCAAATTGACCTAATGTGCGCTAGGTATTTAGTTAAGTATGTCTTTTAAAGGTGATAATAAAAAGTGAATGATTAAGTGATAGTACAGTTTTACTTCAAATTTATTTCCTGGTACCACTTCATAATTACCATCAACAAATAAATCGAAATGAATAAATTTAATTGAATATTGAGTTCAATGGAAATCAGCCATGAGAAGCACTCTGCTAGAGAACCAATTTTGACACTGAATCCATACCTTATTGTGGATAGGTCGCCTAAATCATCAAGTTAGCTAAACTAAGGACTCCCTACCCTTGAGCAATGTGGGAGGTAGCATAGTATCTGTTCAGCAATTTCAGTCATCCTAGTACATTCCCATACCTGATGGCTTTATTTATAAAAGTATGGTAAGTATTTTCAGCTAACATTGTGGAATCTATCTCTGTACAAGGATGCAGTCTGCACTTTTTCTGCACTGTTTAGTGCAACTTAAAGAATTCATTTGAGGCCATAACAAAATGTTGACACCCAGGTTTGGGAGATGATAGGACCATCAACATGTTGACGCTCATCCACTACATTTTTTTTCCCCATTTGTTAAAATGGATATTCTTTGCTGTGACAAGCTGCCTGTGTATTTTCTTCTAAATTACCCCCTGGGTGCAAGGAACGGCCTGGAATACTATCCACAGGCAGCATGCGGGACTAAATACGGGGCAGCAAGATTGCTAAACGAGAATACTACCACAGCACAATAATCTCCCAGGAGATACTGCTAACATATCTGTTGCAGGATCATTTCACTATACCTCTCTATGCATACAGCACAAAGAGATACAGTGGGAGAGCCTGAGATGCAGGAGAGCAAGTGTTGAGTGGAATCCTATCAGTCTGAGCCAGAAAATTCAGATGCAAAAGATATTACCCAATATCACTAAACTATAATTCTGGAATACCAGGGCAAAGTTCCTAAAGATACATCAGTAAGAATTTTTACATGACAATATCACATCAATTTAACAATACACATAAGAATATAAGCTTAAAAATCTTATGAACACGTACCTGATTTTTGAAGTCCTAATATGGATAAGTTTGTTTGAATCATCTGGATGAAACATTAAATAATCTGGAGACACTTGCTGTTCATTCCTGTCTTCCCACATCACTTGTCCACCTTCCAGCAATTCCTCTGAAGCAAGGTCATGAACCTGTAAGTCATGGAGCATTATAAAAAGGTTATACAGATGAATCATATACATATGGCAACTGATGACAATCTAATAACCCATAGAGTCATATTTGCCACATATATGGCTTGTCCTGTCTTTTATGTAAGGTGCTATCACCATGATCATAGCACCATTCTGTAAGAGCTGTCAAAATCTGGCAGATTGTTTTTCTAGTGTCAGGCACTGTGAGTGAGCACATAATATTAGCTTCTAAATCTGGTACTGACTGTCTGGCAAGTTTCTTCCAGTAACACCCACCATTCCATTCCTATTCCCTTTGTACTCTCTGCTCTCCTTGAGTCAGTCATACAGGCATGATTCCTGTCCCTATTTTTTGCTGTGAATGGAGCATTAAGGATGTGAAAAAGTAATTTTGAAACTCTAAGGTATATTTTATGTAGGCAAATTCACCTCTCCCCTATTCTCCCTCAAATAATTAATATTCCTTATAATGAATAACAGAACAATCTACCGTACTGATACAAAGGCTAGAGAAGAACCCACTATAAACAAAGTAAACCCATTTTTGTGTGTTATGGGTTTTCTAACACTGTATATCAAACAAACACTTCCTGATTTCTTATCATCTTTTTACTGTTCATAAAATAAGACACATGTTTTATTCCTTTCTGTAATAAATATACTTTCAATATTTCAGTTTTTTTTATGTAACCTGCCCTACTTTTCACTTACATACAAAGAAACATCAAATGACCTAATAGCTTTGACATTTCACTGTGTGGTATGTACCTGACACATCTTCTGGTGTGTAAAATTAAGGTCTTAAAATCTTGAACCAAACTTTTCCTTGCTAAACCTGAAAAATCAAACCTTAATTGCAGGCGATGGACAGGTAGGCTGGAGGTCAATCTCTACTAGAAAACACAGATGAGTAAAAAAGGAAAGTAACTATTGCTCTTACCTGCAACAGACAATCTGACACGGCTCTGATATAGGCCCATGGACAAGCACCTAAGCCAAGAATGTCCATGTGTGTGTAAGCTGCAAAGAGCAGAGGAGGTGCTTCTACTACCATATCCTTTGCATATGTTATACTGTCTGGGATGACTTGAAAATCTTTTGATGTGCTCTTCATCTGGAAAAAGAATAAGTATACATAAGACCCCACTGTATGAAATAAATACCTCTGATAACCAAATAACAAACAGAAGTACTTCCAATACAATTCTGTATTGAAAATCCACAGTCAAATTATAGATAACTAGTTCTATCTATTATAAGATAAAATGGTGCATAAATTTTTAATATTAGTTTTAAAAAATATACAGCATATATAAATTTGTATAAACAGAAAAACTATGCCACAGGAGAATAACAAGTTTCAAATTTGCTCATTAATTAACACAAATCATTCTGTCCCCATTTGTTCTAAGGTATTCCCTCACAATTTTCTCTTCGTAACATCACCAGATGTTCTATGTTCCTACAGATAACATCAAAATTCATTGTCAGCATTTAGAACAATTGTAAACCTATTTTTATCCATGCCAAACACTCACCCTGATGATTTCCTGTGCATCATAAATCAAACTAAAGCTCTTTTCTGTAAGAACAAGCAAGAGGCCTTCGTGAATCTCAACATCACGCATCTTTCCATACTTCTTCTTGTCCTCTTCCCCTGAAAATTATCATAACTCATATCAAATCACAATTTCCAATGTTAATAAGAAAGAAACACAGCCTCAGATCCTACAGTATCATATCATATTGCAATAATGCTACTTATACTACAATATCAATATCTAATAATTTTACACAGTTAGTCACTACTTTGCAAATAATAATAATTACATAAGTGCAATACTAAACAACATAATTTGAAGCATCCATCTAATCCAAACATGAAAAGTAAGCAAGTAGCACTAATTCCCTTCCACCATTTCCCATGTTCAGGAAAGCAAGAAGAGCTAAAATCTAGATATATTAGTAAAACAAAATAAAACAAAGAAAATCATTATAGATAATAATGAAATACAAAACTGGCTCCTTTGCATAAGAACATGAAAAGCCCTCACGACATTCTCCAGAAACACACATTGGTAACACTGTTCACAAAGTTCAGTTTTGTAACCTTAAAATTAACCAATGTTGCCTAGCACTGTTTTCCTCCTCCATATGAGGAGGAATGTATGCCATGCAGGCAATGAACAACGTTGGTACATGAACACATCCTTGCCTTATACCTGATTTCACAGGAAAGAGCTAGACTTATGCCCTGATCGCTTAACAGCATTTCCAGTATTAGCATAAAGGTTTGTGTTTTGTTGAACGTCTTCTTGGGTTCAATGTAAGCTACCAGTAGGCCATCACTGAACTCATAACAACACTCAAAATGGTTTAAAAGTCAGGATATGGCCAATTGTGAATCGGCCAGGAGTGAATCCAAATTGCTCCAGTCTTAGATGCATTTGAAGTGATCTCTGATACATTTAAGAAAGAAGAGAACAAGCACTTTGACTGGTAGGCCAAGACTTATAGTCTCAATGGTTATTGCAATTCTTTCCTTCTAGAGAGGAATGAGACATATTACAGACCCTCCTGTGAGTGAAATAACCACAATTCTTTCATGCTAAACCCACAAAAGGCCTTATCCTTGTATTCTTCATCAATGTAGAGCGCTGTCATGAATTTGGTGGTGACCTCCTGGTAGCCTACAGTAAACTCAAAATGTATAACTCATTACAAGCCTTTACACTGATAATGAAAGTATGGTAAAGATGGGGTATGTTGCCCTCCTTAACCATTGGCCACAGGTACCTGAACTGTCCACTGTATTTTTTGTGTTTTGTTGCACACAAATGGCCTCACAAGTGCTCAGCCACCACAGAGTCAATTAGCAGGCCCTTTGTCACCTCACCTAATTTCCCAATTCCTTGAGCTCTGGGGGGTAATGTTTTATTTTTAATGTTATTAATATTGACATTGTTATCTTCATTATTGACATCATGCTTACTATAGTGTTACTTATTAGTTTGTGCATTATGTGGGTTTCTATCAGTGCTATTTACATACTAAAAGCAATAAAAAAAAAAAAATCTTTCTGAAAATCAAGGAAAAGAGTAAACAGGTGAGATCAGTTGGACTAGCAATTGATTCCTTGGTAACTAAGCACTTTTGGATCTGTGTAAACACGATTAATACATTAAAATCAGAGTAGACATGTCATGTAAGTCACGCCATCCCAGCCAATGGGTTAATGAAATCCACAATCTATATATATTTGATACTGCTTAAACTAGATGAGCAATTCATAGCTATATACTACATTCACTGATTATAATCAAAGCCTAATATCACCTCTCACCCTCCTACCCCTAATTTCCCTCCTACGCCCTTCCTTCACTGATTATCTACCCATCTATTTCCCTCCTCCAGCTATCCCATGCCTGGCATCTTACTTCGCTAGAAAAAGTTCTTGCGGCTATCATCTCCTCGCCTCATCATGGCCATCGTGTCGCTAACATACAACACTAGGGTTCACAGTTTCGTTAGCTGGTCCCTTTCTCTCACCCCTCTGACCTTCTTCTTTTATCCTCCTATTTCCCCATCCAGCGTCACTATTATCTTGTCCAGCTCCCTCTTCCCAAAAATGCTCTATTCCTCAGCCCCAAGATCGATGAACTAACAGCCAGGGTACAATACTGTAAGCCCTAAAATCCTGTTATTAAATAAGTTTGCTAAAGATTTATATTTTAAAAGAACTGGCTGGCTAATTTGTAAGAGCTGGTTAAATTTTACCGTACTACGTTAGACGAACTAGGCCAAAATCTGATATCATTACATACTGTTCAATGCAATATAATTTATTTTAAGCAAACTTAACAATGTATAACAATCTACTTTTGATCATATCCCCTCCCTCCCTTCCCTCCTATCCTCTATTTCAATCCTGCTCTCAAAGGTCCTCTTACGCCGACCTTATACACTTTTTGCCTCTGTACTCCCCTTCCTCTTTCTTCTTTTCTATTAACCCTAGTATATCAGATTTTAATCTGCTAATACCCATAATTCACCTCCCTCCTCCTCACCTGATAACTTTACCGCACTGCCCACTCCACCTTTCCTGTCCTTTCAAGACTTGCTCGAAAGCTGTCGACCTTCCTCTTCCACTAGCCGGGGTGATCAAGCTCGAGGTCAAACAAGGTCTGATCCACCTTCCATCGCCTCATCATAATGTAAGGCTACACTTCTATCGGAAATTGGGTAATTTCTCAAGGTTCTGACTCTCATCGCAATCTGACTGCACAAGCGCATTAACACACGTTTGATTTAAACCGAATGATGTCGCATGATTTTTGGAATGTATTGGGACGCTTAGAATGCCCTACCAAGCGTGGTCCCCTATGGGCTCATCTATTAGAGATGGCTTGTTGCTGCAACGCGAGATCCTGCCCGCCTTGGGGTCCATGGCTGGCCGGGGATGAGTATGGCATGCGAGGGGAGGGGGAGGGGGTGTGGGGGGAAGGATAGGGGGATGAGGAGGAGTAAGTGGCACTGGGATGGGGAGGGGGAGGGGGAGTAGGGTAGAGACATACAGAAAGCGCATATATTTCTGCGTGGGGCAATTAAGATTAGAGGAAGAAAGATGGGGCAACCAGGTGAAACGGGAGGGGGAGAGGGGAAAGGTATGTATTGAAGGTGTACTATGGATAGGGGGCGCACTAACGAGACAGTTGTGAGAAGAAGGGGGAGAGCGGACAAGATGGGATGTTGGGGCTGTCAAGAGAATACGGCGGAGGGACCTTAAGTAGTGGCATGGTGGAAGGGGGCAGAACGGGGGAGGGGTGGGTCACAGTAGGGGCGGAGGGCGAGAAGGTATTAGGGGAAGGAATATTGTGAGGGGAGGAGAAGTAGTGGGAGGGGGGGCGATAGTGCGGGAGGTGGTAGGATATTGAGGGGATTGAGGGAGAAGGGGAGGGGATGTAAAGAGGGATTTTATGAGGAAGAGTGGGGCGGGAAGTAGG